GAAGTGGAAAGTCTTTCATCATTAGAAAATCAGCCAAGGAATTGGATGGCAAAGGCCTCATACATTACAAAACAGTTGTTTGCAATTAAGGCCAGGAGTAAGATGTGCAGGAGTGTGTCATGCTTCTTTTTGTTTATTTAATCAGCCTGAGGCATAATATTAGATGATTTGAATTGGCATTGTTTCCTTATCACATCCTATGATTTGCTGTGCTTATTTGTACAGTGTATGTAACGTATCAAAGGATGGCAATCTGCTCAAAGTATAGACATTTTATATTTTGCTTGAATCTCGATCAATAACCAGGACATTTTCACAGAAGCATTAACCTTCTAAAGCACTGACCACTGCTGGTGGTAGAAGATTACTTTAAAAATTGCTAGAGGGAATCAGCTAAGCACAAAGCCATCAACAAGATGAAATGTTGCATGCCAGAGTCTTTCTCTGCATTCAGTAGCAAAGACTGTGCCTCTCTGTAACAACCTCTGCTGATGTTTCTTTTCTGTCTCACCAGACTTACATTTCAGTGAGAGCTGTGAATCATGCTTTGATGTAGCTGATACAGAAGTGAATAGAGACAAAGCTGAAAAGAAAGAAAGCGGAGTATAATCTAAAAAGAGTCAGGTAGCTTGGTCCACATCATCTCCTCAAGTCACATCACTGCTTGTTGTAATGGGGATCTCAGAACAGCAGGTAACCTTATATACCATATGTTGAGCAAGGTGCAGCAGATGGATGATAGTGTTCTAGTCTTTTCTGTGTTTTTTTTTTGCACTTGTCAATTCAAGCCTTAGGAAAAAGGCTGGTATCCAGATTGATAACACACGGATGTTCTCTAAGGGCTTGACTCTTTCATCAGTGCACTATTGCAGAAAGAAGTGTAATTTCTTTCTCTATAAATGTAAATTAAGATAGTGATAACTGGTAGTTCTGAATGTAGATTTATTTTGTCTATCATAAGGTTGTCAGAATGTAAATCAGGCTTTAAAGAGCAGATTAGCCAGAGCTGATCAGTTGGTAGAAGTGTGCTAAGAAATATTGCACACACAGCATCTTCACAGAGAAACTTGTAAGCAGAAGAAAAATCTACTCATAGATAGTGATTGTAGTTAGCCGAGGCACATCTCTTTTTCAGTAACATGTATAAGTCTAAAGTAACAAAATCAAGTCCTTATGGCAATCTGAGATTTATAGCTCTATGTTGCCAAGTTTTTTAAAACATTTTTTCTCCTCTGTGAAGTAAATCTTACATAGCAGATTCTAAATGGTGACACTGAAATGGAAGATTAACAGCACTTTAACCTGGTAGCCAGTTAGTTCCTTTGGAGTTGAAAAGTACAGTAAGAAAGGGGAAGGTCAGAGTGAGAGTTAGGGAAAGGTTCTTCACCAGAGGGTAGTCAGCATGGAACAGACTCCCTCAGGCAGTAGTTCTTACCTTCTCTAATTAGAGGGCTCCCAGTTTTGGGAGCATGGACTCCCAACATGAGTTAGTTCAATAGCAATTCCCCAGCTTGGGTTTGATCAATGATCGGACTGACCTTGTGATTTTGGGCTTGCACCTTTTCTGTGGTCTGTGTGACACTGATGCCTAAAGAACACTAACAGGGAAGGCAGACCTTGGACTACTCTCATGGAATATCTTGCTGTAAACCTTGTCTCTGTTGTATTCTTAGTCATCAGGAAAAAAAGAATGCCACTATAATGTGGCAAATACATTTTCATCTTGCTTTTTCTGCTTTCCTTAAGAAAGCACAGCATAATAGGTTAATGTTAAATGAATCACTGATCTCTAAATGCCAGTCCTTCAGCTATCTATATACTGATTTCTGAAAATACAATCTTAAATTTATCTTTCATTTTCTTTTATGCTGCAAATTGTTGTTCTATAGAGTTTAAATAGCAGCTGGGACAATCTGATAAAAATGCGCAGAAATATTACAAGTTTTAATCCAAACATTTATCAGAGCTATGAAGCCTGCAATTTTACAGTACAGAAAATACAAATGGTGCAATGTATTTAGAGAACTTGAATGACATATGTTAACAGCTGCAACTTCATATAACTGTGCATCACTGCAATCATACATTCAAGCTCTGAGCATTTTTCTCAGACTGAACACTCGTGATCTGTCTGAATAGAAATGATTCATACAGGATTTTGGAAGCAAAGCAAAGAGGCTGAAGTGAGTTATTCACAAATTGTTCCTGAAGAGGTAAATAACATGAGGTCAAAACTTTTCAAACCAGTTATGAATACCACAACAAAATGCCCATTAATCTACAAGTGTGCTTTGGGTGGTGTGTTGGATTGGTGTATTAAGAATCAGGTCTCAAATTTTCTTATTGCTAGGTAGTGTCAAAAAGACTCAAGGACACTGCACTGAAGTCTCAGTGAAAGTTAATCAGCATCCTACTCTTTTAGGCTTAACACATTGCAGTGCCTCTGATCTCTCTTTCTTCCCCTGCTATTCCTGAATATTTCTCTGTGCTTTTTTTTTTTTTTTTTGCACCAGATCTGCCAAAGATATCGCCTACATTTCTTCATGTATCTCCAAGAATGCAAATGAGAAGCTAGAGATCAATCCAGCTGACTCTCATGAGTGATCTTTACCTTTTAAACCAGTTGCTGTGATTTTTTTTCTGGACTATGCAGGGAAATGTTCATTTCAGATGTGGATGTTAAGGTCTGAAATACTTTTGGCCTAACTCATCGCTTTCATTGCAAATATGTCTCAGCCCTTTACTGGAGCTTGTAGACAAGGCTACATTAAGCCAATAAGTATCACAAAAACCACCTGGAATCTGACTTTTCAACTGACAGTTGTGGAAATTTTAAAATATATAAAGTCTTCTCTTTGAGTGCTATTAAGCGAGTCAAGTTAAATGCCTCAGACTCTATGTATGGACGTGGGCATGATAAAAGGCTGTCGTGCAGGAAAACAGTGTGTAGTATTGTAGCTGCTGAGGAAAATTCCACATATGCTCTACCGTGTTGTGTTGGCAAGACTCTGAATCAGCATGAAGAAAGGGCACGTTGCTCACTGTGCAAGCACATATGATTAAAGAAACAGCAAGACAAGAAGCAATCTCTCACTAGAGATTTAAAAATCACTTATTTAGAAAACTGATGCTTCCAAACTGCTGAGCAAGTTAAACAGCCCACAGGGAAAACTTGATCTTATTATAATCTGTATTACTAACTACTCTGCTATTGTAGCTCATAATCTTCAGATATTCTGGATACCTTCCATAATTTTTGTCCCTATTGATAATTAGAGGCTGGTTTTCTTTTTCTCTCTCTTTTTTTCCTTCTTAATTTAAAAAGTATTTTATCCTGGTTTATCCTGGGCTCCATCAGAAGAGGGGTGGCCAGCAGCGACAGGGACCTGATCCAGGTCTATAAATATCTAAGGTGTGGGAGGCAGAGTGGCGAGGTCAGACTCTTTTCAGCAGTGTGTGGAGACAGGACAAGGAGAAACAGCCAGAAACTGCAGCATAGGAAGTTCCACACAAATGTGCACAAGAACTTCTTTACGGTGAGAGTGATGGAGCACTGGAACAGGCTGCCCAGGGAGGTTGTGGAGTCCCCTTCTCTGGAGATATTCAAGACCTGCCTGGATGCCTACTTGTGCAACCTGGTGTAGGGAACCTTTGGCAGGGGGTTGGACTCGATGATCTCTGGAGGTCCCTTCCAACCCCTATGATTCTGTGATTCTGTGATTGTCCCCCTCTACTCTGCTCTTGTGAGGCCCCATCTGGAGTACTGTGTCCAGGTCTAGAGCCCTCAGTACAAGAAAGACAGAGAGCTGTTGGAGCGGGTCTAGAGGAGAGCCACAAAGATGATCAGGGGTCTGGAACACCTCCCTTATGAAGACAAGCTGAGGGAGCTGGGCTTGTTCAGCCTGGAGAAAAGAAGGCTGCGGAGTGACCTCATTGCAGCCTTTCAGTACCTAAAGGGAGCCTACAAACAGGAAGGGAATCAACTCTTTGAAAGGGTAGATAACTGCAGGACAAGGGGAAATGGTTTTAAGTTGAGGGAGGGAAGATTTAGGTTAGATGTCAGGGGGAAGTTCTTTACAGAGAGAGTGGTGAGTTGCTGGAAAAGGCTGCCCAGAGAGGTTGTGGATGCCCCATCCCTGGAAGTGTTCAAGGCCAGGTTCGATGGGGCCCTGGGCAGCCTGGTCTAGCATTAAATGTGAAGGTTGGTGGCCCTGCATGTGGCAGGGGGGGTTGGAGATTCATGGTCCTTGAGGTCCCTTCCAATCCTGGCCATTCTGTGATTCCATGATTCTGTGAAATATTCCTACTGTTTTTCACATTAATCCTTAAGAGTCATACAGTGCATAAAGCATTAAAACACTCACTTTCTGTATCAATTTCTTGTCACTTACTGAATGAAAACATGAGCTAAGCTACATGTTTATGCCAATACTAACAATGGTGTGGTTGTTTCTGAGCAGATGCATGGGTTGTCAGTTAAAAGCACAGGTATCAAAACAGTTAAACAGTTTTCCCTGACTTCTGAAACATTACTGGCTTCCTATGATGAAATCTCTGTAGCTCTTCTAATCTACTTTGTCTGTCTGTTGTTTTGGTTTTAATGGCTGCTCTGCTTTTCTGATATACTTGGTTACAGTAATCTTTTAGAGTCGTTCTTTAGCCTCATGGATTACTGAAATGGAATTAATTATTGCAAAGTGCTGTAACAGAACAGCAGTAATGTTCTTTGAGCTGTGTATAACACCATATCCCCAGATGGTTGAGTTTTTTAATAAACTCATCTTCACCTCATATATCAGTTATCTCAGATGTTCATAAACCAAGTTTCCATATGCAACTCTTGCGCAAACATGATTTGTCCAGATTTGTCCAGTCTAAGGAACTGTGTTTATATACATCAAAGAAAGGTGAATAACGGTTGTGCATATAGGTAATTTTAATCCATTCCATTTTTAAATACCACAATAAATTTAATTTTCACAATAAATTAAATAGCCATATTCAGTTTACAAAATAGAATTACTTAGTGTGAAACCAGTATTTACAAACATTGTACACTATGTACATGATGTTTGTCTTTGTCAATATTCAATCAGAGAAGAAAAAGTTATTTGACTTTTTTGACACATGATTGACATGCTACAAGTGACACTATGGTCCATACAATAAAACAATAGTGCAAACTCACCACAGGAATCCCGAACCAATGTCGTTTAATGAAATATTAATTTCAAATAATAAGAAAATAGTACTATCCACTCTCATTGTAAAAATTCAGTATGGTATTTAAAGTGTCAGTATTCCTTCAGCAATACACATACCAAATATAGCCTGAATATTATGCTTTCTCACAGCTTCACAGACTTTTGACATGAATTTGTATGACATAAACTAACATTCTGCTTAGATCAATAAGTATGTCACATAAACACTTCAAGCAAGAGGAACACTGACCCTTTTAATGCTCTCTGACTTTATTTCCCTAAGTACCTCTTTGTCCTTTATTAGTATATCTCAAAAGATGCAACTATGCTGACGGTAAATTAATGTTACTATTCTGTAGAAAAAATTGATCCCACTGTATATTTGGTCACACACTGCATATGTACACGTATGCATGAAAAATGTTACTTTGATACTATGTCTGTGAAAAGTGCATATTTTAGCAGAGACATTACTACATGTCTCAGATGCATCCAAAAATGTTGTATGAAGTTTAGGTCAGGGCCAGTTAAATGTCCTCCCAGTGATCTGGTAAAATTTTTGATTAAAAGGATGAAAGAACTTGCGCAATTTGGTAATGACAGAGGTGTCCACCTCTGGATGAATGCGTCCCTTGCTACCTGCCAGGCACTTATTAAAGACAATGTTAAATCGCAAGCAATAAAACCCTCTGGTGGCATTGAAGTATAAATTGTACTGACTTATCCTTGGAGGAAGATTTAGGAACTTCTCAACCAGCTGGAGTTCCGGCAGTGGTTCTGTGATGAGCCGGTCTCCATCTACGATATGAAACTGCTCAATTGGGAAATATTTTAACCATCTCTCCAGGTGTTTTGTGTAGATGCTGGTTCTTACTGCCTTATACTTAGTGTTCACTTCACAGGTATTAGGATCAATAGCCAGCTTTTCAAATTTGTAGTAAGTTTTGTTCTTTCTTTCCTTGCCTTCCAGCACCTGAGTGTAATCAGAAATAGCTCTTGTGGTGGGTTCCCTGACAATGATCAATAATTTGATAGACGAGTTCATTTTGTAAATCCTTTCAGGTACTTCCTCAGTGATAAAATATGCGGGGCTTTTCTCAATTGTTATTTGATGAGGGTAAGAAAAAGGCATTTTTTTCCGGTACCACTCAATCCCCTTGGCATAGTTCTCATCATTGTCAAAGAAATGAATCTCTTGAGAAGCTTTGACCACTGCAGGGTGAAGATTCAGCATCTCTAACAGTGCACGCGTGCCTCCTTTCCGCACCCCAATGATGATGGCCTTGGGAAGCTGCTGAACCAGATTGTGCAGTCGTATTTGCTCCTTTGTGGCATTGCCCTTACGGAACTCATGGAGTAGCCCTCGCTTGAACTGCAGAGCTCGCAGCGGGATTTCATCCTGGCTGCGGGGTCCAAATCGACCATCGATGGGGCAGAGGGGCTGCAGTCTGCAATCAATGGAAAAGATATTTGTAAACAGAGGGCAGCTCTTAAGGTAAGCTCACAGTGCTCACAGAAACCTTTTGCAACATGATGTCTTTTAACTTGTATTTTATTCTGTCAGATATTAGTAATTAATGTAAACTGTTAGTTTATTTATTCTGTTGTTTCACTGTGTTCTGGCTGAGTACCCCCTTCCTCTGCTGTTCTGCTCAAAGGAACTCTTATTATTGTTCTTTGAGCTTCTTGAACCTTACCTCACCTTTCACATTACTGATTGCTTTGAGATTGCTTCAGCAGCTTTTAAAGCATTCTAAGATGAGTTTTATTTGGCCATTTTGATCTGATAATCTAGTTCATCTAAATCCTATCTTTCCAACACTTGGTCTATTCTCTCTTGAGTTATTTCCTGTTACTTCCCATTGTGTTGATTTTAGTAATTGCTGATCCAGGGTTAGCTCTTTTGGTGAAGAGGAGCAAAAAGGATTAAAAATAGTTTTTGAGGCATCACGCCTCAATATTTTCCTTCCTGTTTAGAGTATACCCAGTATAATTCCTGGGGCAGAATCAGAAGGACCATGGTTCTGACACAGACATGATCAGCAGAGGCACAGAAAGGACAGTAAGACAAATGTTCAAAAATACATTTATTGCCTCATTACAGCTATAGTTTTCTTATCATCACTTGTATTTCTTCTCACTGAACCATTCTTTGTGCTTTAATCTGTTTTTATATTGCTCCTGCGATGCATGATTGCATTATTCTTTTGTATTCACCTTCAATTATTTCATATATTTTCTACTATTTCAATTCTTCCTTCGCATATTTCATGTCAGTGAATGTAAAAAGTGATTCAGTAAGAGAAGCGTTTAAATTTTGCTACAAGAGAGCCTTTAATAAGCCCTCACTTTCACTCCCAAACAGTTCTTTGGTCATTAAACAAGCCAGTGTTACTCTGAAGATGAAACAGGTATGTAGAGAGAGCTTCCAAAGCTCAACAGAAAAAAATATCAATAAATTTGCAGAGCCATGATCTCCAAAATTAAAGATATGTAAGAACAAAGGTTGCCTTGGCAATTTTAATATGAGCTTGCTGTGCATATATATTATGATACTGTTTTTAAATTACATGACCACATGCTATTATTTTTCACAGGACCCCTGCCTCAGCCGGCATACCAGATGGGCAATGCTCATTAATAGCTGTTTAGGTATTCAGTATTTATTCTGTTTCCTCAGTATGTGGCCCCTCATTCATTTACTGTATATTATTCAAACCTGCTTTCAGGACAGAATCATTTATTTCTTTTTGGCTCTTCCATCCATCACTGCCTGTTGGAGTCTCTAATTTGACACTGATGCTAGGACAATGGATAGCTGGGACCAAGTAAAAAGGTTAGCCCCCGGCTGACCCAATAACTGTTTCCTTCACTGTCTAAATGCTGGATACGCTGTATCCAGACAGATCTGAAGAAACATTTCACATGAGTTTACTGGGTTCAAATGAGCTTTATTTAAGTCCTACACACCTATGACAAAGTGTGAGGGGAAGTGAGTTCCTGTTGTCATTTCTTTTCTCTTTGCTTTTTGCTGTCTACCAAGCAAGAGTCTGATTTGGTCACAAAAATTGTATTATTGCAACATTGACTCAAACTTGGCAATAAAAAGAGAACCAAATCAACCAACCAACACAACAAACAAAACATCTGAAAACAGTATCTTAACTTGACAGTGGTACAACATATTCAGGCTATGGTGGGACTGTTAAGAGTCATTCTGCAGTAAGGAGGTGACAGTTACAAGTATAAAAAACAGAAGCTACAATCCATCTCTCTGTTCTTCTCTTCCCTCTCCTTCTGTGTATTTGTGATTTGTTTTCAAGCAAAAATGTTCCACAACAGCAGTTCCAGACGCATCTCAACTAATTTTATCTTTTTTCCTCAAAAAGATAGCACTGCCTTCAGTATAACACAACAGCTTGTCAAACAGGGTTGTTTCCTTTAAAAGTAAACAAATACTCAAGATATCCTCTAGCCTAAGAGAAGGATTGGATGTTCTTAAAAGTCCTTCCTCAACACTTTACATTCCATTACCCTTTCCCCTTTCTTCTCCTCTCCAAACAATAAACGTGTCCTATAAAAGATCTTGACTGTCTTAAGATTAAACAGGCTGTCACATCTTGGTAGCTGAATCCTGAGATGCAGCTATTTACTATGTTAACATTTTCACTTTTCTGAGTCTTCTTCTTGAAAAAATCCAGTGTAGAGCAGTTCATCTCAGAAAAATATGTTTCTGCCAAGTAGCTAAACAGCTAAAAGAAGGCTGGGCAATCTTAACAGCAAGTAGTGATGCTGCATGCACTTTCTCTCCTGATCCAGAATAGATGCTAATTTGCTTCCAAAGCAGATGTCATAGATAAAATGTTACAAGCTGGTTCCAGGAGTTCAAAACATCAGAATTGGGTATGGAGGCTCCACATAATTCCAATGAGAATGTTAAATATCTTGAAGACTCACACAAATTTTCTCAGAATTTTTATGGACAAACTTAGGTTGAGCTTCTACACATGAAGTAGCTCTGTTCATTTGTGATCTGAAGGACAAGGGCCTTCTCTGGAGGGAGGTACTCAGCTTATCAGACTTTAAGACTCAGTGAATCAGATAAGCTATTGCTAATTTCCTAAGGGAACTCAATTCCTGAGACATCCCTGCAATGAGAAATTGCAGCTCTCTTTTTCAAGTTTAGCTTGGGTCATAGTGTGGCAGAATATTTCCAGTCAGTTCATCTGTCTCAGGCTTTCTATGCATTCTTTCTCTCTTTTTTTTCATAATGAGTCCAAATAAAGGGCTTCTTTTTGGCAGTGTGGTATTCTACACATTGGATAATGGAAGAAAATGAAACAGGGTTTTACTTCCAGTGGCAACATTATATATGAAAACAGTGCAATTCGGTGCCTCAGGAGGTCAATGAGTCAAATATTGTGGCAAGATAATTTTATGGCCATCAGTAAATTCTGAAGATGTGCAAGCATAGATAATAGCATAAGGTTAATTAGATTTTATGCCTCCATTTATAAAACATGCTGTTTCAGGGACTAATAAGGAATTCTGTGTCTATTTCCAGAATCTCTGTAGTCACAGTGAAGTTTTCACCTCTGAAGCATCTGAGATGCTTTGACCATTGGGGAAGAAAATTATAAATCTTGGGGCCTAATTTGCAATCCATTTAGTCCCAGTTGACAACGTGGTCTCCCTCTTCTTCTGAAATTGGGTTATACAATTGAAGAAGGCTGCCATTGACCTGAGATGTAGTACAGTGGATGCTAGATATTGTAGTGTCATAGTTTCGAACTCAACTAATATTTTCCAAAAGAAGACAACTAAAGCAACATTAGCACTCAAAAGCTATTTACCAGCTTCTGGAAATCCTGAGGTCTTCATTCATTCTTTCAAAACAATCTTTTCTATCCTGTCTTTATATAGCGCCTATTAGAACAATCCTAGACCACTGTGATGGCAGAAAAAGCATGGTCATTATGAGTAGCACCACTGTCACACTGTCAATAACCAGTCAAAAAACAATCTTACCAAAAGTGCCAAATACTTTTTGATTTCCTCTCCTGTATTTTCTACTGCTCCCCAGGAAATCACTTGCAGAGACAACCTTTTTATTTGGCACTTTCAACTCCAGAAAATACCAGCTAATTAATGTAGTTAAAAAATTCTCAAGCCCTGAAGCAATCTTTCAAATGAAATAGTATTTAAAACTTGACGAGCTACTCTGCAGACTCATACTTAATTTTAACTGCCACTGTAGCACTTTAATTGCTTGCTCATAAATTTAGGAAGATGATGTATAAATATATCAAAACTGTTCTGCTGAAAGTAGAGGTCAACACACAGATGCGCAGAGACAAAAAAAAAAAAAAAAAAAAAAAAAGAGCTATTCTAATGATATTTTTACTGGATGTTTTTTTATTTCTTCTCTGAAAATAAGTGTCAGTCTGCTTGGAATACAAATGGACAGACAGTACTTTGACAGGGATGACCTGCAACTTTGTTTTCCTATTCTGCAGAAGGAAGGAAATAATAATGAAAATCAGTAGTAGAGTGGTTGGTCTTTCATGAATACATGAATAGAAGCTAAAAAATGAAAAAAGAAATAGATCCTCTAAAGAAAAGCTTATACAATCTGCATTCATTTGCAATTAAGAGAGTGGCTAGTGAACAACTTACCTATCCAAGCTCCCAACTCTGGCAACTAGATATAGGAGACTTCCAATAGCAAGGCTGCCTAGCACAAAGAGCTTCTGTCTCAGCAACACCTGCTGTTTGAATAGCATGGCCCTCCATCAATCTTCAGGACTTCTTCAGTCTGCAGAGAGAAGAACATATAGAGCTCTCATCAATAAGCAATATGCAGTGTTTGCAATTTTCCATCAGTTGCAAATGGCTGAGTCACATTGCCAAAAATCTTTTCAAACTACAAAATTAGTAGTTAAAGCTTTGTTTACTACTCTTTCCCACATAGCAACACCAGACAGTGTATCTGGGCTAGCGAAATAATTCAGAAAGTGATGGTTCAGCTCTATACATTACGGCTGTCTAAAAGCTGCAATACAGGGCTTGGCTTTATAGACTTGTAATAGGATCAGACCCTGGGCTTGTAGGTCTTGTGCCCACAGTGTGTGGGACCTGCTCACTGTGTTTCTATTATATTATTAGGGAGTGAGCTGAACAGAAATCAGTTTATTTCCCAATCTGTGCCAGCAAGCTTCTGGTGGCAGATCTGTGAAGCGTGCAGCTGGGATGGACACAAGGACATTTTTTTAACAGTAGTACAAAGGTAAATGTAGGATGTGTCTTATCAGGTCTCTTTGTGTGTCAATTTAGGCTGTTCTGAGGCGAATTCCTTAAACACCACATCTCACTGACGCCAGCATTGGCTTTTACTTCAAGGCCTGATGCAAACTTGAGCTGAGCATACAAATTACAGCAACAAGCATAGACTTAGATTTCCTTTTATGATATGTGCCAGAGACTACTAAATCGATATGGTTTGCTTGAGAGAGTAAATTTTCTTCGTAATATCTCATAGAGTGATATGTTTTGAATTTTTGATGAAAACAATCGTGTTAATACACTGATGTTTTGACTGTTGCAGAGCATTGCTTACACTAAGGACTTTCCAGCTTCTTGTTACAGCAGAGAAACACCTCAGTATGAAGCTGCAGTCAGTTTCATTCCTGAAAAAGGGAGGCTATACCTTTTATAAACAAAAGACATGAATTTTTGAGTTGTGAGGAAGAGTTCAGATAGTGGGCCATGGTAGATCTGCAGCTCACAATTCTTTCCTTCCCAGCACTGATCTTTCCACATTAGAGTAGTTGTCATTATTCCCCACTGAATTTATATTTTCTCTTTCATCCCTAAACCTGCTATTTTCCCAGCCCTTTACCATGGTCAAGGCTGCTACCCCCCATCTCATGCTGTCCAGGGCCCTGTTAAACCTGGGCTTGAGTGCCTCCAGGGCTGGGGCACCACAGCTTCTCTTGGCAGACTGTGCCAGGGCCTTGCCACCCTCTGAGTAGAGTTTCTTCCTGAATACCAACCTAAATCGATCCTCTTTTTGTTTAAAGCCATTCCCCTTTGTCCCATCACCCGCTATCTGCTCATGTAGAAAAGTTGATCCTCCTTTTGTTTATATGCCACCTTCATGTACTAGAAGGTTGCAATGAGGTCTCACTGGAACCTTCTCTTCTCCAAGATAAACAAGACCAACTCCCTCAGCCTTCCTAACAGAGATTCTCCAGCCCTCTGAGTGCCTCTGTGGCCCTCCTCTCCCACTCAAACAGCTCTACATCTTTAAAGGTGATATAAAGCCTCATGTCCTATCAGTCAGATTAATACCAAATTGATTTTCTTGATATATAAAACCATAATATACTCATTCATATTCTCACTGCCTGGACCAGGGAATATTTAATGTATTGTGAAGCAATTTATGTTGAAACTGTTTTTTGTTGTCTGTTTTAATTTAGTTTTGTTTTTCCTTCTGAATTTTAACGGTATTTGTTTTGAGTAATTTTTTTTTTCTCTTTTTTTATGACAAGTCTCTAATGTTTTAATACTAGTAAAGCTCACTTTCTCTTTTTCCCCAAACCTGGGACTTACATCAAGTCGAAGAGATTATTACAAGCACACATCTGTATATAGAAGCAGGGTGGTTAGTATTCAGACAAGGTGTGACAGGTATGGTTGTCCACTGATAAATAGAGCCTGCATATGTTTCTTTGCCCTGCCCATGCTGTTAAATTTTGGCCCAGGAAAATCTCACAAGACTCTACTATTTTTGGGAACCAGTGCAAACCCCAAACTGTACAGCCCCAGAAGTATACCGACAGTATACCTGCAGCCTTCCTGTCTTAGTGCTAGGTGAGATGAATGGTATGGATATAGGCCACTCCATAATGATTGTCATCAGGATGGTAGAACAGTCAGTCCTGAGCACATTTTATTTACTGCTACAGAGAAAGCCTTTGTAAGTCCAGCCCATCATCTCTACCTTGCAGCACTGAAGTCTTGAGTCTGGCTGAGTCTGTGACATTTCTGGTGTGCTAGTAGCAAAAGTAACTCTTTATACAGCCAGGTCATGGCCGTATACATACAGAACAATCTGCTTTTCACATAGATACATGAAGCGCTGTCATAAGAATTTTTAGATAAGATACTTATTGCAACAAGAATCATATAAAACAGAGTAAAAGGAATTTGCAATGTAAATATTAAGAAAGAATAAGTATCATACTTTAAAAATAAATGAATAAATGAATAACAAAGGCAGAGAGAGATTAAGTGATTTGTTCAAGGCCACAGAGAAAATCTACGGGACTAGTGGAATTCAATTTGAGATGTCTATCTTCCTGTCTAGTGCCCTAATTATGTGATAAACTTTTATCTTCTTTTTTTTTTTTTTTTTTTTTTTTTGTATGTTTTTAGCTGAATCTTATTGCTTAAGAAAAATGCACATATACTGTTTCTCTGTGCTAACACACAACTGCTGTTTATTATCTTAATTAATTAATTAAAAAAGGTGGGAAAGAAAGCTTAATGACAATTCATAGTTTTCCAGGTTAAAATCCTTCAGTGCTGCTCTTTCTAAATAATAGTGTCATGTCAGTGTTACAATTATTGATTCTGAACTTCCTTTCTCACAAAACATATACAGACCTCTCTACATGAAACTAAAGTGTTGGGAGCATGTCCTCCCTCATGCATACTCTCATACTCCTGTTAATTCCTGCCTGCAGGTCTCCTTGAAGCTGTGAAGGTCATCAGGCCACAAAGAAATCAAATTAAAGACAAAATCGAAGACAAACTATTTTAGAAAGTGGATTCCACAAGGTCTTAGTCGATCCATCTTCAGGTGTGCAGTAAAATTCAGTGCAAGAAGAGAAAAAAATAGACAATTACGTTTGCACTGTGTATGTACTTGAGTGTATTTCCACATACTGAAAACTTTTTGACAGAATAATGGGTATCGAACACTCACTAGAAATGCATATGCAACATTATTTGTTTGCTTATGTAATTTTTGTTATCACTTTAGCATCTAATTTAAAGTCCATGGAGGAAATATTATTCTTGTGAGGTTCTAGCTAATATAACACCTTCCTCAGATTTTAGTTGTTTTCATAAAACTAAATTTAGAAAAAATTGTATTTTAGCTTCAGAAATGTCTACATCTTGCCATAGATGTACAGAGACAGAGGAGAGGACAGAACTGTTTAGGCCATGGGGTTAATGCAACCAGAATGTGATTAAGGTGAAGGCCCCAAAGGCAAAAATGTTGCTGAAGACTAACACATCAACACTTCAGGATGGAAGAAATGAAAATTCTGGGACACATTATAGGCTGCACAAAGTTTACCATAGGGAATATGCACTTTTAAACTTAATAAGAAGCTGGAAGGCAAGATAAAATGTAATCCAAAGTGACACGATTTTAGCAGTTATTTGAGGCAAATAAGGATTTTCGTTTTAGAATTTTACTCTCTGTTATGGACCATGACTGAACTGATGCACCAGCATTTGAGCAGCAGGACAAGGCATGGGGAAGCACCAGGCAGAACTGATGCTGAATGTGGAACCTTCTACCAAAGGAAACAACAGTATACTGCTGCACAGTCCAGTGGGCAGTGGACAAGTACCTGTCTTGAGCAAGTTAATTAAACATGCAAATACAGGAGGAAAGTCACTTCCTGGATATTCAAGAGATAATCTACAATGAATAAGAACAACATAATTCACAATGTAGAACTTGTAATTTCTAGAAATGCAACTGTATGCAATATCATTTACAGAAAAGAATAGGTAAGCTACTTTGTGAATTGCAGATTAACAGCTGATCTAACTTGTTAGATTAATATAGTTATCTTAAATAAATAAGCTTCATTTAGAGTATTGATATGAATTCTTCATCCAACCCCATTTGCCATGGAGAAATACAGGTGAGAAGAAGGTGTTAGTTGAATGAAATGAGAGCAAAATGAGTCTCATCACAACAGATGCCAATTAGATTGTAGAAGATTAATGGCTTAAATGTGATTTTAAGAAGCAAAAATCCCATGTTATTTCTAAAAATGAAATCCAGTACCTTCAGAATTTTTTAAGTACCAAGACAGAAACTCAGTGGCAGTGAAAATGATGGACATCTGTGAGAAGGAAGCAATTATGCCCCTGTATGATACTACAACACATCATTGAACTAAATGAACTAAAATTTCAGCAATTAAATCAAAATCTTATTTCATTGGCTAAATTAAATGGGAGAAGATGGAAAAACAAACAAACAACAAACAAAAAACCAAGTAAAGTAATATAATTGATAATGATACCACCACTGGCAGAAGTTTGAATTTGATAACATAACAAATTTTCCAGAAGAACCGAATCCAGAAGCTGTTGCTATACTCACCAATCCCAAATAAACTGACAGGGAGACAGAAAAACCACCAGGATGTTGTTTGAAAATGATCAGAAGGAAATTTTTGGACACAGATAGCAAAGAAGAGAAGATCTTATTGATAAATGAATGAAGTGTGGCTGAGTATGGAGAGAAGTATAAGAAAGCAATATTTAAACCTTTGATAAACAGATTGTTGAGAGACAGTGCTGACGGAGTGATGTGGTAATCAAAGTGAAGTACAAATCATAGGAAACTATGGACAAAGAAGACTGAAGTAATAAGAAATGGCTTTTTTTTTTTTTTTTTAATTGACTTTATCAATGAGTTGACTTAGATTATTTTTGTTTTACACACCAGCAGGGGTCATCTGCTGAACAACAAATATTTGTTTTCATGCAC